CATGTCTTTCACTCCACTATTAAGTCAATATAAATCGAAAACTCCTTTTCGACTTATGAGTACACCTCGACCAAGGATTTGATCATTGACTTAATTGGATGAAACGCAGATCATAATCTCCTACTATCTAAGAGTGACGAATCCTTTATTGATCAATCACAACCTTCATACGATTCTTGACGTACCCGAACGATTTCGTATTAGCGGCCCTTTTCAGAGCAACATCCAACACCGCCAAAGTATGACTGTCCTCATATAAGGTACCATGACGACCTCAAGTCAAAGGACCAATTTCACTACCGAACGTTAGAGATTAACCACCGACACTCAGATAGTTATCCATGTGGAATCTCTCGACGGGTCTCCAATGTTTTGTTCTATAACAAACATCCACGTGTTCATTTAAGTGTCACCACACTTTAACTTGTGAGATCAGCTACTTACTTCACAAGTAAGAAATGCCACACGTGATGGTCTATCCGTAATAACGATATCCGTATCTCGTTATTACTTACGACCACGGATGATTTAAGATTCAATCAGATGTAATTTGTATCTCACAATCACAACTCCTTGTGATTAATAAATTACAAATATTTGAATCTACGGACTCTATTATTTATTTAATAGTCCATTAATTAAATAATAGATCTGCCATTTAATTGCATTAATTATATATAAAAGTATTTATGTCCAAAGTCGATTGGACCTAGGGCATAATACTTACAGGACTCTCACCAGTAGACACGATCTAATGGCCTTTCATGGTAAGCACTCAAAGCTCCACCATCACCTTAGAGGAGCATGAGGTGGAGGTCCATGACGAGGCCTTGAAGAAGAGAGGAAAATGAATCAAGTAACAGGGACAAGTAGATAAAGCTGAAAACTTCTTACGGGTTTTTCACAAGGAGCTTACCCTAGACATCTTTACTATATTCCCCAGTAAGGTATAGTTTGCCACCATGATTTTTCACTTTTTACCTTTTTATCGCAAGATAAATGGCACAATTGAAAGTACATGCAACTGACTACAATTAGTTGCAAAACGACTTAACTTACTATTACCGGGTAATATCGTTGTTATAAAGCTCGGTACGAACCAGCCAGTCAAACCAAAAAATCGACTACTTGGAGCCTTGACGAAGTCGGGAAGATTAATTTGATAGAAATGTAAATGACTCAATCAAAAATTGAATTTGACCGAGTTAACTGACTTTTCTATAACCCGATTGTTCGAGTTTTGAAATCCTCTTTCAAAATCTTTGAGTCCAAGGAAATTGAATATTGGATCTCTAAGGAAAATAATTAGTTCCTCACAACTGGAACACATAGTGCTTTAATATTATTTGTGTGCAATAACTTATATGTATCTAATAAATCATTTGTACATTTTCTAAAAATATTTTTATAAAAAGTTTGATCCAACCTTTTACTTTATTTTAAAGACCTAAATAACTAGCGATAACCTAAAACTTTTATATTTTGCCTAAAAAATTAATACTTCATATTTTTTTTTTATAGATTTTTATGCAATGACTCACCGACCCGACCATTGACCCACGAAATGACTAGCAACCCGGGATTCAATACATTGTCTTGATCAATGTTTGTGTAGGTTCTAATAACTATGGGTGACACAATATTATGGACCAGAATATCAATATTTTATTGATGATATGCACCAATGGCCAATCAAATAGCATCTGCACCGTCAGTCATAAAAGATCGGTATTTCTCATATTTTATAAGTCATTTGCACGAATACAACAAATAATGATTATGAACTATTTTGTCATTATCGGAAAGTTAACCAATAGCTTAGAGATCTAGTGGATTACATTTTGCAATCCTTAAAATAGCAAGAGGCTAGACAATATAATCTTTCTGTAATTTATTTATTGGTAATTCACACAAAACGTCTCTACTTTTCAATGTTATTGTACAATACGTCCCCATTTTTCTTTTTCTTTTTTGCATATTCACCCTTATTTTCACCTTTCATTATAAAAATTGTCATTCTCATCCACTTTCTCAATTAAAAGCTGTGAAATAATTAATATAGCAACCTATATAAATAAAACAAAAGGAAAGAAAAGAACAAATAAAGAAGAAATTGCAACTATATTTCCAAACTTTTTTTCAAAATTAGAAGTAAATTTCAAATATATAATTAAATACTCAAAATAATAAAAATGAAATTCACTTTCTTTCCTATCAGAACTTATTTGGTAAAGGCATTGCAATACTCAAGCTTAAGAATCCACAAACGTGGTATATTTTAAGGAAGAATTCTATGATAGAGGGGGGACTTGCTGGAGAGTTGCGTGGCATCTGTTATTGGGTAGCTTGACCCACAGAAGATCTGCAGGCTTGCAATGTTGAATAGGGCCTTTAGGGGAGGGGGGCGCTTCTGCTAATTGTGTGTGGGAATCTAAGTTAACTTTGAGTGTTTTTTTTTTTTTTTTTTTTTTTTTTTTTTTTTTTTTTTTTATTTTTTTGATACCAGTGTTCACCTTACAGCGACTAATCCTGAGGTCTACGATCCAGCCCCTCTTCATTCAAACCATTTGTAAAAAGGTTGTTTGAGAATGATGGTGGGAACCTTTTCTTTTCATTTTCTATTAGATATTTAAAACCCTAATCTTACAATTATGTTTTATCTTTTGCGAAATTTAAAATATGGAAATAATGGGACAATCAAGAGTGTCTCATGTGGAAAATTTTGTGACTTTATTTCTAATTGATAATTTAAAAAAAAAAAAATTCATGGGTTTTAGTAGAAATTAAGATGCATAGAAAACATTTCAAGAATTCTGGAAGATGGATTCTTAGGCCGTTGGATGCCCATTCTTTGGCCACAAAAATGAAAAATATAATCGTTATCTATCACATTAAGCCACCATATTTAACTTTCTATCTCTTGTGTGAGTCTCGTAATAACTATATTTTTCATTCTCATTATTAAAAAAATGGGAATCAAACGTGCTCTTAATTTTTGTGAAACTTATTAAAATATTAGGTCCAAGTTTTCACTAAAGGTTTTTGGGTATCACAATCGACTTACCCAGTAAAGGCGTTGTGATACCTGAACGTCAGAATCCACAAACATAGTATAATTTGAGAAAGAATTTGAAGAAGAATAGGAAAGAAAGTGAACTTCGTTTTTCAAATTTTGAGTTTTTAATTATTAATTTAGAATTTATTTGTACTTCTTTGAAAAAATTTGGGAGTATAGTTGCAATTTATTCTTTATTTTTCTTTTCTTTCTTTTTATTTTATTTATATAAGAGAGTATATTCGTCATTTCACATCTTTTAGTTGAGAAAATTGATGAAAATAATAATTTTCACAATGGAATGTAGAAATAAGGGTAAACATGTTAAAAAATGAAAGATACAGATGTTTTATACTAATTATTCATTTATTTATCTATTTTTTCATTATCGAAAAGATAACCAGGATCTAATGAGCCGAATATTTCTCAATACTTTAAAATAGCAAGAGGCAAGATAATCTCTGTTTATCTTTGCATAAGCTATTTTATTATAAAATTTTCAATCTTCATTTCTAGATTATTTATTAATACCGAATCTTTGTTTTGCATATAAATAGATTATGCAATATTTGTATAAATCACTTGTTTGATTTCCATTATTTTCAAAATATATTTTTCTTTTTTCTTCTTTTCACCCACGCCTTAATTAATAAAATAATATAACACGTAAATTAAAAAAATTTCCTCATTTTTTTAACTACACATTCTCAATCTATTATTCCAAAATACATTTTTAGCCAAAAATGGAGATCTAAGTTCTTGTCTTTCCCATCGAAATATAATTTCAAAACTTCGTTGATCGTATAACATTGCATTCCTACAAAAAAAAAAAAAAACATAACGATAAGAATGAAATTACAATTTAATGTTAAATTCAAAGGCATGAAAAAATATTTTCAACTCAATCTTTTACCGGTTGCATAAGGATATTCGGTCAAACAACATTTGCCCCACTAGTCATTTGTTCCAATGTTAATCAAATAGTGACTATTGTATCGATAACATGAAAGACATTTATAACAATTACCACATCAATCAGTTGGCAACGGATGAATTTAATCTTGAAAATTTATGAACAGCCTCTAAAAAATAATTCGAAAGATGAGAAAATAAATTCTGAAATAAGGGGGAAATTAATAATATCAAAATGAAATAAACCTTGAATATTTATTAAGGCCCTATTTGAACCCTATTATTTTCTCATTAAAATGAAAAACATGATCGTTATTCATTCATCAAGCCACCATATTTGACGTTTTATCTCTTGTGTGAGGTTCATAACAGTTATATATTTCATTCTTATTTTTATAATAATGTGGCTCAAATGGGGGCTAACAGTTTCTAAACATTAATCCCCTGTTTGGCCCACATTCTTAGAGCCTGTTTGAGTCACATTATAATGAGAATGAGAATGAGAATGAGAAAGAGAAATAGAGTCGTTATGGGCTCACACCAGAGATAGAAATTCAAAAATGGTGGTTTGATGTGATGGATAACTGTCATATTTTTCATTTTAATGAGGTAAAAATGTGGTTCAAACAGGAGCTCATTCTCATTCTTTTTTTTTTAACCACACAACCTTCCATAAAATAATATTACACGCGAATAAAAAACTTTTTCATTCTTTTTCAACCACACATTATTCCAATCATTAAAATTTGGCAAGAATGGGCATAATAGCCCTTCTTTGAGCCCCATTATCTTGAAAAAAATATATTTTTTAAATATCATTTCAACCACGCATTCTTTAATAAAATAATATTACACGTAAATTCAAAATTTTTTTTCATTTTTTAACCACACTTTTTTATCAATGTACTATTTAAAAATTCATTCTTCTCCAAAAATAGGATCAAACAAGGGAATAAAAGATGAGATAATAAACACTGAAATAAGTGGAAAATTATATAATAATAAAATAAAAACTTGAAGAGAAATCAAACACGTATTGAAAATTACTGAATTGCTTCTTCCATTTAAACGTATCCATGGACGCTCCTGTACATCTGTCCTTTCAAATTGACAAAAATTTGCACGAAATTTTATAAAAGACAACCACCACTATATAAACGTAGCACTCGAGGTCGAAGAACAGGGATCTAGTCCTCTAGACATTGCAGTAAGAAACATTTCCTCTCTTTAGGCTCAGAAAAGCTAACTTTTTTGAGGTAATAATTAATTTTCTGGGCAAATATGCTGTGTTTTTCATTCTGATTTCGTAAATTGTGCCTTGCATGAAGTGTTTTCTTTCCGAGGGAGAAAGAAGTAAAAAATTATGGCCGAAATAACGGTAAAAAAAAATCAATTTTTTGGGTGAAAAATCAGTAAAATTAATTTTTGCAGTTTGGGTTTTGAATGCTGCAATAATTCGGAATAGTAATAGAATTTTGCCTTCTGATTTCCCTATATTTCAGTTAATTTTGTGTAATTGATCTTGCGAATTGTATTTTGTTTATGGTTCTTTCGGGTAATTTTTGTTTCGTCGAGGGATTTAATTAACATTTGATTTTGGGATAATAAAGTTTCTGTTGGTACCAGTGTAGTTTGATTATGCGTATATAGGTGTGAAGAGGAATCTTTTCTGCTATTTTTTGGTCATTTTTGTTAGTCTTAATCCCAGTAGGTTCTATTCCTCTTGTACTTTATTTTCTTTTGATTAATGTATATTTGATTCTGTTTGCTTCTAAAATATGATTTGTAAGATTGACAGATTGTAATTTTGCTCACTGTGGCTAATTAGTAGACTAATTGCCGTGTTTAAATCCAATTGTTTGATAAATCATGATTTTTCATAGCTAATTTTAGTCGTGGCTTTAAACTCCCCGTGCTCAACTCTTCCTCTTTCGAATTGGTGACTGCAGAATGGGAAGCGGTGGGGAGACCAACTATGGCGAATACACCTATGGAGAACTTGAGAGAGAACCCTATTGGCCTCCGGAGAAGCTCCGGATTTCCATCACTGGAGCTGGTGGATTCATTGCCTCGCATATCGCCAGGCGTCTGAAGAGTGAGGGTCATTACATAATTGCTTCGGACTGGAAGAAAAATGAGCACATGACTGATGACATGTTCTGCCATGAATTCCATCTTGCTGACCTGAGGGTGATGGATAACTGTCTGAAAGTTACCCAAGGAGTTGATCACGTGTTCAATCTTGCTGCTGATATGGGAGGAATGGGGTTCATTCAGTCTAACCACTCTGTCATAATGTATAACAATACAATGATCAGCTTTAACATGATCGAGGCCGCAAGAGTCAATGGAGTTAAGAGGTATATCTTCTTTAAGACTTTAACATGATGTCTTGATTTTCATTTCATGATCTTGTGCCGCATTTGGAATTCGGAGTTGGGTGATGGTAGATAAACATCACAAGATGACATTCGTTATCTGGAAATTATAATGGGGGTAGAGTTGGTTTACTTCCATTTGAAATGGGAAGATTTTACACTGCTTGTACTTGTATGTATTATATTGGTGTTTCTGAACCTGCTTTTCTTCCCACAGATTTTTTTTTTTACAAATGGGATTTTATACGTGTTTAGAATTTTTCTATTTGATTTCTGCTCGACGCATTCCTAGCAAAGATAAAAGTCTTACAATGGAACGGTCCCACAGTCATATTTTTCCTGTTTGTCTCTTCTGATTTTATCTGAGTTTTATTTCCACGGGTATGCAATGCCGCATTTGGATATGCAGATGTGAGTGTTAACTTTCCCAAAATGGATTTCAGGTTTTTTTATGCTTCCAGTGCTTGTATCTATCCTGAATTTAAACAGCTGGATACTAATGTGAGCTTGAAGGAGTCTGATGCTTGGCCTGCCGAGGTTCTGTAATACGTTCTAATTCATTGTACTTTAAGTTAAAACTTATCTACATTACTTCTTATTTCGATTTTATTTTAGCCCCAAGATGCTTATGGCTTAGAGAAGCTGGCAACCGAGGAAGTATGTAAACACTACAACAAGGACTTTGGAATTGAGTGTCGAATTGGACGGTTCCATAACATCTATGGTCCGTTTGGTACATGGAAAGGTATAATATAAGAAGTGACGAATGGGAAGTGTGTTTCATTTTCTTTTTAAATAGGCATTTTCTTTAATTCATCACTTTCTTCATCAATACTGCAGGTGGGAGGGAAAAAGCCCCTGCTGCCTTCTGTAGAAAAGCCCTCACTTCAACTGATAAATTCGAGATGTGGGGGGATGGGCTACAAACTCGATCTTTTACCTTTATCGATGAATGTGTTGAAGGTGTACTGAGGTATGTACATAATAAGGCATGTCTAGTAAGGTGGACTCGTCAATATGAAGGAAGGATAAAAAAAAAATACCTTCCAGTTTGTGCAATATGAGTATTGAACATGTTTATGCTGTTTTTGTTGGGATTAGAGATCATTTTCTATTTGAAGTTGAATGAGTTCAAGCGCTACCCATTGCCCATTGGTGGTTGGTCATGCAAGAACTATATTTCTGTTATTAGTGTTAAAATAGAGCATTTGGGTAATGAGCTGAGAAGGCTGAATCCTGGAAAAGGGGCCTTAGATATGCCTTCTTAGTTATACTTATTTGCATCCTGTGACATCCGATTCTTATTCTTTATTCGTTCACACCACACCTTCCCCACACTAAAAAAAATGAACTTTCTCAGCCCGTTGCTATGTGTATGCCTCATGTTTATAAACACTCAAGCCAGTTTTTATCTTTACATTTTGAGGGATTTACAAGTACTATTCTCTAATCCACCCCTTATTTCTATCTATCCAGATTGACCAAATCTGACTTCAGAGAGCCTGTAAATATTGGAAGCGATGAGATGGTCAGCATGAATGAGATGGCGGAGATTGTTCTGAGCTTCGAGAACAAGAATCTCCCCATCCATCATATTCCAGGACCAGAGGGCGTGAGGGGTCGCAACTCAGACAACACTCTAATTAAGGAAAAGCTTGGCTGGGCACCTTCTATGAGGCTGAAGGTACATTTTTTGAAGTTTGTTTTCCGTTTATTTATTTTGGCGTCTATCAACTCGATTTATGTAAATATGACTCATCAATCATATCCATATTTTCCTAACGAGTACAGGATGGGCTGAAATTCACGTATTTCTGGATCAAGGACCAAATTGAGAAAGAGAAAGCTCAAGGTGCTGATGTTACTCTCTATGGGTCCTCAAAAGTTGTGGGAACACAATCTCCAGTTCAACTTGGTTCTCTCCGCGCTGCTGATGGGAAAGAGTGAATGAGATAAAGTTTATGTTCACTTTATGAACTTAGCTAAGTTTTACATTATGCTCCCATAATATCTCCTTTCTGACTTGGATAATCTTCTGTTTGAAATATGCTTTTTGCTTATATACAATGATTCCCCAATATCTCAAGTTACTCTGTATGGGGGTCTGTTCTTATATATTGCATGCTCTCCATATGTTTTGAATTCTATACTTATCTTGTAATTTTGATCTTGTACGCTTCCTCCTTATTTTAAACTTGTGTTAATGGCCAAGGCTTGCGTACATGTAGCATGTTTGGTAAGGAGGATTAGATAGCACTATTATACTGTTCAATTTTGTCTAATACTGCGTATCAAACATGTACTAATCGTTATATATCAAAGTTAAATAAATTGTACGATTTTGTGTAATATTATGTAGTTTGGAACTGTAGATTTTGGGGGCATGGGAGAGTCCCACTTTTGCTTGACAAGTGGATGTGGTCCATAAAGGGTAATTTGGACTCACCATACAAGATGGATAAATGAACAGATATGGCTGAAAGAATAGACCCTTGTTTGGATTCCATTTTTTCAAAAATGACTCATTTTCAACCACCCATTTTTTCATAAAATGATGTTACACAAAAATTTCAAATTTTTTCTTATTGTTTAATTATACATTCTTGAAAAAATCACTAGTTCGAAACACATTTTCTCGAAATTTCATTTTAATGGAAACCAAACAGAGGCCTATATGTGTTCTACAGAGAGCTTGCGAATGCAATTTTATTCAGCTACGCAAGTCAAAGACGCGAGTTTTGCGGTTAGGTTATTGCCGGAAAATGATATAAGCCAAGGGGCAAAACAGAAATGGCTCCAAGATGACCTGAAGTCGGAGAAATAATGATTCCGGTCTGCGTCGCTCTATCAATTCAGTTCGAGCCAATCTACGACTCAGTTATAAATTGAAAATCTATAGGATTTTCATTATTAGATTTTCAATTTTCATAACAAACCGTTGATTCAAATCTACTTACCTGGCTGGTCATTTCTAAATGAAAACTTTTTAGATCTAACATAGGATTTGAAAACACTATTAGATTTTATTTAGGATTTGAAGTCACTTAGGGGGTGTTCTCTTTGTATTTCAGTTTTGTGTTTTGAGTTTTGAATTCATCTTGAGTTTTGTGTTTTGAGTGTTTGTTTTGAAATTATTGAAAATGCGTTCTTTTTGTTAGTTTCTCAAAACAAAAAAAATAAATTTTTTTTTTTTTTTTTGAATTTTGAGAATCCCCACAACCCCCCCTAAAAAAAAAAAAAAAAAAAGGTTGTTTCCCGCGTTTTCAATTTTTTCAAGTTTTACACTGAAAACGCCCAAAACGACAAAAAAGTCGTTTTGTGTTTTCTTCACAAATTTTTTTTCGTTTTCGAAAATTCGTTTTTAAAAACGGGAAAGAGAACACGTTTTCACCGTTTTGAAAAATCGAAAACAGAAAACGGCCCGAAAACGGTAAAGAGAACAGGGCCTTACCATTTTAGGCTTTGGTTTTCATTTTTTTAGTTTGAGGATTGTTGCCTCAAAAATTTCAAATTAAAAGGACTGCTACTGCAAATAAGAGATTATGATAATTGGCTTGCAAGCTCTTCGTGACCCATATGAATTGCAAGATAAATGCCAAGTATTGTAATTTGATAAGGAAACAATCGATAAGATTCTTTCGTTCAACCGAATCGTAGCATGATTAGGTTTTGGACATACGTATCATTCTCTTTACTTTTTTGGTACGCAACTTGAGATTTCTTTGAGACAAAAAATACACACACACACACACTAGAGGTGCTTGGGTGAATAGAAATCTATATGATTATACAAATTTTTCATATAGGGAATTATCTGGATTCCCAACAAGTGATATCAGAACATGAGGTTGGTTTAAAGTTTTGGAGCAAAGGAAAATTATGGCATGAAATATGAAATGGAGAAATTTAATTGAAGAATCAATTTTGGCTTATGACACTTTTCAAGTCAAGGATTTCTTGTTTGAGATCGAATTGCATAAGGCCTTGAAAGGGAAATCAACCCCTAGTTCCAATAATGATGTTGAAAATTCTAGTAAGAGCGGTGAGAACTGGAAAGATTTGAATTTGAAAGCTATAAGTACTATGCGTCTCTAACCAAAAATGCCCTTGAAAATTAGCTTTAGGAAAAACTTGAAGAGCTGAGAGTCTTTCAAATTGATTGTACATGAAGGAACAGCTTCATTCTTTGTCAATCAATGCAAGTGTCTAATGATGTACTGCCACACGGGCCACGGCAGAGAGTAAAAATTGGTGTATTAATTTGTTTGAAATCATTTATTGAGGCTATTGAAGTTGAAATTGACGATGGGGATAAAGCATTAATATGCATATGGTCTCTTTCGTCTTCTTATGAGCACTTCAAACCTATTTTAATAAACAATAATGAAACTATGAACTTCGTAGAACTACAAACAAATTAAGTTATAATCATGTCTGGTATATATCATGGCATACACCTAGTTTTACGCTTTTCTGTGCCCATGTGGCAGTACACCATTAGACAGCTTAGAAATATAATTTTTTCACCCAATCATTTGTTGATAAACAATGGTAATATCAAGCATGATGTACAAAAAAGGGTGTAAAAATGCCATTATCCATTAATTTATGAAGAAAAAAGGTTCGGTGAAAATAATATTTTATTTGAAGATTCGTTGTAGAAACTTGGAAGAACCCAAATTCCATGAAGCATAATGTAATTTGTTGCAATTGTGGACAAACTAGTCATGCTAGAAAGTATTGTCTAAAAGGTGAAGCATGCTCGAATAACCACTTGAAGTCGAATAATGCATCTCTCTTTATGGGAGATGGTGATGAAGTCGCTTGAATAAGATTTACACCCTCATATCACGCGCTACTTGCAATTATAGAGGATGTTGTTACTACAAGTCAGTCCACATGTTTTCACATGGGAGTTTACTTGACATTGATCGTCTGTTGTTGTATGATGGAATTGATGTCAATGGTTGCTGAGCTCACTAGAAAGTCAAACAAGAGGGGCTACACCTTAATTTTTAGTAAGTTCGTTCGAAATGAGCCGATAAAATTCTTAGAATTTATAGTTAATTCTAAGTGGTTATATTTATACGGTGGAGACGTTAATTCCATGTTTACTCAAAAAGGTTACACCTTAATTTTTAGCATGTTTGATGGAAATGAGCCTATAAAATTCTTAGAATTTATTTTTAACGGCCTTTGCTATTTGTATACTGATTTTTGACACTTTAGTTGACACTTGTATTGTTGTCAAGTGTCAATTGAATGAAAAAACTGTTCGAAATTTAAACTGTCCAATAGGATAATAACACATCACAAAGTGTAAACTAAAGTGTACACTATAGTGTCCATGTAGTAAGATTCATTTTTAACAGTGGATATGTTAATTTATTTTATTTTATTTTATTTTTTCAAAATTGGGACTCTTAAAGTTCTTAATTCTTTGTTTTCAAAATTGGGACTCTTAAAGTTCTTGCAAATGCTTACTTATTTTTTAAATTGTGTTGTGGTTTAAAGTTGTTGCAGAAGAGGTGACAGAATCTTGGATCCTTTCTTCGTGGAGATTGTTTGGATTTTTTTCTCAGAAAAATCGAGTTAAGAGAATTTCAAAATAAGAGGACTCTTATTGCAAATAAGAGAAAAGATTCAAATTATGATGAATGGCCTTTCAAAAGTTACGCGTCATCTATTTTATTGGAAGATAAATACCAAATATATAATTTGATAAGGAAACAATTGACATGATATCTCGGTACAACAGACTTGTAGCATAATTGAGTTCGAAACGTATGTTCTCTCTAGATTTTCTCGTTCTTTTTGTGGAGCGCGTTGGAAAGTGATTGTGTTTTAGCATAATTGAGTGGGACTCATTTAATTTTTTAGCAAATAAAGTAAATTCTTGTTTTCCGTCGTGAGAACATCTGAATTATACTAAAATACTCATCGGTCATCAAAATTGTTAATGCAAATTGCTCATATTGGATGAAGTATTGAACAACTACTTTTGAATCATATTCATTGACCGTTCACTATAATTGAGTAAAAAATTAAATTTATATTGTAATTCAAACTCACACATTTCTTTTCCTTATACTAATAATTTTCTTGAATTTCAGATAAATTTTCATGTCAGTTTATCTAAATTTTCTTCTTCTTCTTCTTCTTCTTCTTCTTCTTCTTCTTCTATTATTGGTAATTGTTTGCCATATTTATTGGTAGTTGTGGAGTTTTGTTCTGATTTGTGTTGGACTTCCTTAAATTTGTGCATAGCAGTTTTTGTTTATTCGCATCTAATTTTTTGGCCAGTTAACTAATTAATTATAATATTATAACTTAATTTCTAGATTTTATTCTTTGTTAGGGTGATTTGGTAGATTACTTAAATTTTCGTTGTAAAGATTTGACCAATGAGCTTTTCGACATGGGAATAGAAAGTAAATAAGTATAAGATTGTCCCTTAAATTGATAAAAATGTGCTGTCTATTCAAATGCCCAAAATTATTTTTGAACATGCTTTCCCTACTCAGGGTCGAATTCTTGATCCTTTGTTGAGTGCAAATATGAGTAAGGTGGTGATATGCCAACAAAATTGGTCGCATAGTAACAAGAAATCTATAATGATTCGGCAATATTTGAATGAGGTATAAGCATTTGATGATTCATAAAAATGTTATAGAAGGTATTATCGTATTTGATATTTTTATTCATTTACGTTAATAAATTGTATTATATTTTTACCTGTATGGCGAGAATGAATCATGTGTTACAATTGCAAATGTAATGTCAATAAGTTTCACGTAAGAAGTTAAAATGTTTCTATAATGTTGTTGCATTACAAGGATTAGAATTATAAAACTTTAATTTGTAATATTTTTAATGATACTATTTATTTTTTAAAGTAAAATTTTAGGTTAATAATTATAATTTAACTTTTTTGACGTACGTGCTTTTTTTTTTTTTTTGTTAAATTGTAAATTTAAGTCGAACCAAACCGAAAAAGTGGTTTGGATTGGTTTGTTTAGAAATTGAAGTAGTTTGATTTGGTTTGGAATTTTCTAAATCGTTTTAAGTAGTTTGGTTTGAAAATTTGTTATAAACCGTCCAAATCGAACCTTGTTCAACCCTACGGGAGAATCTGTGGACGAAATCTGTCCATTCATCCGTCAATTGACCAAAAAATCAAAAAATTGACTCATTTTAATCAATTAAGTAAAGGGTATAATAATCATGTTAGGCAATTTTGT